ATTTATTAGAGGTCCTATGGGGTGTGTGTGTGGGGGTTGGGGGGGTGGGGTGCAGTGACTGGGTGGTAGGGCAGCCCAAAACCAGTGGATGTTTTCTTAACATTTCCCCTCATTACATTCAACATCTCCCATCTGTAATCAGGTTTTCAACATCTCCCTGAGTGAGAGGGCGAGCCTGCTCTAACCCTCACGCTGGTGACCACATCGCCTCAATTGGCTCTTGCTGTAATTTTCTCTACTGCAAAATGAGCTCATGGCTCTTTATTATGATTTGTTCCTAGCTGACAACAGGAAAGAAAAAAAATAAGTGAAAGAGAGATGGCCTTGCTTGCATAACAAAAATTTGAACACAGATCTCCAAAATAAGTGGAAAGTACTTTTTCTGATGTTGACTAACATTACATCAACACTTAACTCTACACAGCGTTACTTTTTAGATGATGATCCCTCTCACCCAGTCATATGTGCTCTTCTTCTTCTGTGGAGAAAACTCAGTCTTATGTTTTCATTTCACTTCTGTATTTCTGTCTTGCTTTTATATGGTGTATCGTGGCACAAATGAAATAACACCACAACGTTGTTTATTTATCTGATACTTTAGCATATTTAGCATTTAACATTGGTGGAAATGTTGACCCATTCCTGGATGATTTTAATTCTGGATGTTGGGTGTGTGGTCCTGTGTTTTGTTGGTGTATATTTAATATACTTCTAATCTCTATTTCAATCTTTCTATCTTTCTAATTACTTCTCTCTCTGTTTTTCTCTCTGTCTCTATTTTCTCTTCACTTGAAAAAAGTCACTGATGATGAAGAAATAAATAAACTAAATAAACTAATATTTGGTTTCGTTTTCTACTGAAGTGACAAAAAACGAAAAGACAAGTTTTTGACTGACATCAGTGTGGATTTTTGTTAAAGGTTCTTCAGTTTATAAATATTCAGCTGGATCAGTTTGTTCTCTGAGTCTCACTTCACCCGTTGTTGTTCTGACCCAAATCTGACGAGTTGTATAACATTCATTTGCTGAGCGAGCGACGGATTCAGGTGTTGGTTCAACCTTGTTCTGGATATGGGTCAGAGAGGTGAGTTAATGCTTTAGTGTTTCATAACAAGTCAGTCAGGTGGAAGTGATCCACTGACACAATGTCCTGCAGACAGATATTAACTCATCATAACAATAAACAAAAAAGATCCTCATGAGAGCAGCTCCAGCTTCATAACTTACGTAAACACCAGACTGACACTTAAACAGCAGAACAGGAGGTTTAACACACCCACCCCTCCCTGATGTTCCAGTCAGGATTCATATATCTCCAAAACCTACTGTATGCCGCAGATACCCACACACCAGTATTTAATATTCAACAACATCGGGTATCACACTCACATTTCAACAGTATTACAATGTAGTGTTAAAAGTAGTGTATTGTTATTATCAAAGGAAATTGTGGTTTTTAAAAGGTTAACAGACACCACAAGGTGTCAACACAGCATGTAGCATGTATTTGAGAGTGTAAATTTAACACTCAAAGTTACAATCAAACTCTTACTCAGTAGTTCGTATTAATTATATGTGTTGTCACATATTTCGGACATGTAACTGAACCTATTTCAATCAAAACATTATAGATTAAACACTGTCAAAATTACAAAAAGGAAAACCTAAGAATATAGTGTTGTGCTTTTGACATCAGTACTAACCTCTAATAACTTTAAATTTCTTCAAAAGTACAATGGAGTCACCCTTCACACACCACGAAGAACCTCTCACTCGTGGTGTTGATTTATGGCCAACAACACAAACTTAAACTTGAACAACTTGATCAAACTGAACAAGAAAACAAACCAGAACAACTCCTTTTTACACTCATGATCTTCTTTAATAGTCATAAACATGAAAACACATAATTTCTACAGGATTACCCAGCATTCCTTGCTGAAAATACACTGGTCTGTCTGACATGAGGTGGAAAAGGGCGGGGCTTTTCACAATACTTTTTTTCAACGCTGCATGGTGTCATTTACAGAGGTGTCAAGTAACTAAGTAAGTACTTTGTACTACTTAGTTAAGTAGACATTTTGGTTATTTATACCTTAGTGGAGTAATTATTTTTCAGCCTACTTTTTACTTCTACTCCTTACATTTTAATTCAATTATCTTACTTTCTACTCCTTACTTTGTAAAAATGCAAAAAGTATTTCATTTCTATTTAACTTTGACTTGTTTTTATTCCATCTTTTCATTGTTCATAAAAAAAATAATGGAGCCCTTGAATAGAGTGAATTTGATTGTGGTTGGATGAGAAGTGTAAATATAAACCATCCTGAAATCGTATTGGATTGAACTCACTCCATCAACCTGTGTGAAACAAATCACATCACATTCCAGCAGGACACACTGTAGCAGACGTAGTCTGAAACAAGTAGTCTAGTCAGTTAAATCCAAATTTTTCAGTTTTGACATTTTAACTTATTGTTGACTTCAGAAGAAAAAAAATGGGGGGTACGCTATTTAGTGGAACAGCCTAAGCTTTTTTATTTTTAAGTGTTCATTACTTTTACTTTTACGCTTTAAGTAGTTTGAAAACCAGTACTTTTATACTTCTACTTGAGTAAAAAGCTCTGTTAGCCATCAGAGCATGTGTTGAAGATGACACTCGGGTACAATCACGCCACGTTTTAGCTCAATAACTAAAATTAATCCAGTTGGAGTAATTTTTGTGTTAACTAGCTTTAAAAAGCTGTAGCGGCCATTTTAAATCTGTGTGACTCCAGTTAGCATTACTTTTAAACATTTAAACGTTACTTTTTGAGAGTTTTATTAAAATCTGTCCACTGGCTCACGAGGTATTTTGTTTACAGACAGACAGGGTTGATACCAACAGACAGTGGTGGGCAGCACTAATGCAAACATTAGTTGCACTAACTGTAAAGCACTAACTCAAATATTTAGGTCCCCTAATTCTAAAGCACTAATGCACAATTTTTTTTTTAGCAAAAGCTAATTCTAAAGCACTAAAATAACCCAGTAGACACATGGAACATTCAACATGAGACAATATTTACTGTGTGCCACTTAGTGCCCTTGGTGTGCCAAATGGGAGTCACCCGCAGGCCACATTTGGCCCGTGGGCCTTGAGTTTGACATGTGACCTTGTAGATACATGCATATAAACAAAATGTGGCAGCTTTCACCCTCAACTGTGAACAATAGTGTTGATCAATAACGTTTAAAGACCTCAGTTAGTGCTTTTAAATTTAACCCATACATTTAGCAAGTGTTAATCCACTGATTAATTTTAAAAATAGCAAAAGCCCTAAAGCACTAATCAGGAAATGAGTTCCCCTATTAGTGCTTTAGGGGAACTTTGCCCACCACTGCCAACAGATGAAGACAGAAAAAATAATAAAAAATAAAAAATAAATAAATAAATAAATTGTACAATGTGCCCTAAGTATATGTTACTGAATATTATGGTTATTAGGACCATAATACAATAAATAGTATAATGAATGTATTAAATATTTATGAATATATGTTGTTTATTTATTATTTTAATATATGTGAACTAATTGTGTTAAGTATTATTAAAATGCGTTACTAATAAATAGAAATTAAACAAACAATCGATGTGAATATATATTTATGTCCACCAGGAGGCGGTATAAAGATTTTATGATTCGTTCTTTTGGGAAACGTGGCAGAAGAAGAAGTGCAGCTGTTCTTGACTTTCACTTCTCCCGTTCTTTCTGTTGGGTTTTATTCTTTATTCTCCTGGTTAATCATTCTGCATCATGTCTGAAGATCTGCGCGCTGAACTGGAGAAATATCTGCAGACTTTAAACATCCGGACGAGCTGCGTGGAACACCCGCCGGTAAGAACTGAAACCAGAGAAAAACAGTTCCGGGGTTCTGAGACTCATACTGATGAAGGGTCTAAACTCTTAAACCCTAAAATAATCTGCTGAACAGAGCAGACACATGCTGTTGCAGTCAGATGTCAAAGACCAAATGTTCTTCGAACTTACAGTTGAAATAAATAAATAAATAAATAAATGAATAAATAAATAAAAAGCTGATCAAAACTCCAAATTCTATTGCTTTACCGATTAATTTGCATTTGATTTGCTGTCTGTAAACTATGTAATCAGTTTGCATCATGTTTAAAGATAGTACCTTACTAAGAAAGACTTCACTTTTAATTCGGCGTAGATATATCAGCATAAGGAGAGTTAATTATAGTTTTGATTGTATAGTAATCTGCATGACTGTAGTGTGAGCTTTGAAACTTTCTGTATACATTCTGTAAAGGGACACGTGAAAACACGAAAAGGTTTTCTTTTGTTTTTTATTTGGAAGCCGAATTTTGCTGTCAATATTTTAAAGCACAGATCACTGCAGTATCTGCTTGTCCAATGAAATGTAGTTACATAGAACCTGTTTAGTTTGTAAAGGGACTGGTTTTAAATCTAATTTGGTGAAGGAGTTTCAAACGCATCAAATCGTAAAACCGCAGATCATTTTAACAGTAAATCTCATTCATTACTCAGATCTATAAACCTTTGACAAGAATTAAAGAGGCGTATTACTGTTTTAAAGCTTTTTGATTTTGTGAACTGGATTTTTCAATCGAGCTGACACGTTTCTGATGCGTTGACTTGCCTGAACCAGCAGAGGGCGCCAAAGTCTTGCTGCGAGATCTAAAGATTAACAACTGCAAAACCTCAGATTTACAGTGAAAAACTTGCCAAGTATTTAGTAGTGTTTACTTCAAGCAATGGTTTATCAGTAGCTGCAGTGCCTTTAAACATTTGATTTGTTTTAAATTAGTCAAATAATAACAATAGAATTAAAATGACTCTAAAACAAGTTTCTTAATAAAAAAAAAATCTCATGACTTCCACACAACTGATTGTTTTTTTAGTTTATTTTGATGTAGTGACTTTAAGACAAAATGGGATAAAACAACAGCAACAGTTTATTTTTAATTTTTTTTCCTGCAGCTGGTCTGAAGCCACAAAAGATTGTCATTGAAAAATAATTACCTTCTACTAAAAGCAACACAAAACCTTTAGGCACAACACTTATATTACCAGCAGTTAATACGTTTTTCACCCAAAACATGGTGGAGCAGTTAGAAGATGTTGACGCCTGTCAGTTGCTCCTCCCCTCTGCAGGTGTTCACAGTGGAGGAGATGATGCCTCACCTGCAGGACGTCAGCGGCGCCGTCACTAAGAACCTCTTCCTGAAAGACAAGAAGAAGAAAGGCTTGTGGCTGGTGTCGGCTCGCCACGATCGCCAGGTCAGCTGATGTATTCAGACACCCCTGTGTCACCTACTTATAAAAACTCTATACTCTGACCTGGGGGAAGTCCAAACTTGCCTGTCTGTCCGCAGGTGAACCTCAACGACCTCGCCAAGAAGCTCGGCGTTGGCAGCGGCAACCTGCGGTTTGCAGACGAGGCGATAATGTTGGAAAAACTCAAGGTGGTTACAAGTTGTGGACGTCTGAAAAAATTCAACAGAAAGTTTTGTCTCGTTTTAATTATCACAGGAAATCTGACTGCCGGGAAGCAAATTTACAAGGAAGTGAACAGAACCAATCAAAAATGTTTTCAGAACAAATTCACCATCTCCAGATACATTTTCAAGGTGTTGTCCTTATGACCACCTGCAGCCAACATCGATACGTTGACAAAATATTTAATTTAATGGTTTGGCTGAAGTCAACAGCTGATTAACATGTAGGGTTAAATCGATTCAGGGTGGCTGCCACAGCACAGCAAACAAATGTCTAAAACTCTGTTTTAACAGATAATGAGCTAAAGTCTGGCGTGGTAGTAGCTGAGCATCACACTGTGCATGTGCTGCATTGCACATCTTCATTTAAAACCACAACATTGACTGTTGGAAACATCCCTGTTTGTCTGTTAGCAAAATATCCAACGAACCACTGGATGGATTTCAATTAAAGTCTTATTGGGCCTCATGCAAGAACCGTTCGTACGCACAGATTTGTTCTTAAGTTGTGCGTACGAGTGATTTAGGAGAATTTGTGGCATTCACCAATGTTTTCGTATTCTACGATTTTCTTCAGATACGAACAAAATTCACGAGTGGTCCAGACCTGTCGTATATTTTACGAGCAGTCAGTCTGCTGTTATCCAGACGGGTTTTCTTCATTAATAACTTTATATTTCGTTAGTTTGAAGATATTTTGAGTTGAAAATAAATCACACTCCATAATTATGTTGACAAAAGACTATTCTGCTTGAACTAGAGTTATAATTTTAAATGTAATAATTTAGACTARCAATATAAATTGTCAGTCCGTTTTCTGCTGCTTATCCGGGATCAGGTCGTGGGGGGCAGCAGGAGACCCCGCTCTCCCCAGCGACACTTTCCAGCTCGTCCTGGGGGACTCAGAGACGTTCCCAGACCAGAGGGGATATATAATCCCTCCAGTGAGTCCTGGGTTTTCTCCAAAGTGCCAGACATATTTTGAAAACATTTTAAAATGCTTATTTCTGAACCGCATCTGAGACCACCTGCGACCGCGCGGGGGTGCGCAGCGCTGCGGCTTCTGAATAAATGAAAATGATTTAACACAGTTGTTTATACTTTTAGCAGCTCTTTTTATTCCACAGCTGACCTGCTAAAAATGACAGATTTTCTTTTCTGGATCTCTGACAGACGGACTTCAATCTCTGAACTCGTAAAGTTCTTCTTTTTAGTTTTCGCTGTCATTTTCATGAATGAACACTTCCTTGTATCTGAGGTAGGAAACATAGCCTTATATGGTGTTTTTGGGGTGGTAATTATGCTAATCTCCTCTCGCGTGCACGAGCAGCTGGATAGAACAGGTGGAATTTACGCAGCTTATTTACACACTTTTCCTGAAGATAGAAGAGTTTGTTGAATCTGACGTGACATGTTCGTACGAACCCTTTGTACGAACAAAAGTAAGAGAAATTTAGGATAAGAATACGAACATGTTCTTGCATGAGGCCCATTGTCTCCACGTCTGCAACGACGTCAGTCCAGCTGATGGCTGCCACTGCTACTGGCATTAGTTAGCACAAATGTGGCTGCAGCTTGGTCAGTTGTACAAATACTGAACTAAAGATTGTGTGACTGTGGCTGCCTAAAAGATATTATGTAAGATATTCAATGTTACATGATACTGCACAGAGTGATTTTTGTGGTTTGACTAAAATGGCTATAACTCATTGCGTCCTATAAGATGATCAACATGCATTCCTTCGAGGACTGCTAGTGTTTGTCTTTGTTTCACTCATTGGTTCTGACTCACTTCCTGCTTCGTCCTGCTCTCAGGTGGGTCAGGGCTGTGCGACAGCCCTCTCTCTGCTCTTTGATGAAGACAGAAGTGTGAAGTTTGTCCTGGACCGGGACCTGGTGGAAGGAGGTCACCAGATGGTCTACTTCCACCCAATGACCAACGCCGCCACCATGGGGCTGCGACCAGACGACCTGCTGCACTTCCTCAAAGAGACAGGACACGAACCCATTCTGGAGACGTTTGAGTAGGATGGTTAAAGACCTGAACCAGGATCTGGATTTTAAAAAATGGAACTGAGCAACCTGCAGGGATCAGACAGAGAAGATCACATGAGCTGCAGTTTACAATGGAGTGATTTTTTTTCTCTCATTGGATATTTACATTCATCATACATGATCTGTACCTCAGGTCCATAGAACAAATCCTAGCATTGCTAAAACAACTGAGGTCAAAGAAATATATTACCCTTTAACATTTTCATTTTTCATGAGTTTTTACAGGAAAAAAATATTCTGATCTCAACTTTTCATTAGATATGATGAAATTAACACAGCAAAGGTCAATTGCAAACTTTTATAAAACAAGAAATGTGAGTTTTTTGAAAGTCTTATTGGTGTCAACTGTGTCTGAAGTACAACCCAAATTCCTATGAAGTTGTGCAAAACATAAACAGAATATGATGATTTGGAAATTCTTTTCAACCTATATGCTTTTGAATACACTACAAAGACAAAATATTTAATGTTCAAATGTATAAACTTTATTAGTTTTTTGCAAATATTTATGCATTTTGAATTTGATGCCTGCAACACATTCCAAAACAGCTGGGACAGGGTAAAAAAAACCTATTTGTAGCATTCCACAGATGAACAGGTCAATAGGAAACAGGTGAGTGTTATAATTGTTGTATAAAAGGAGCATCCCTAAAATATTCAGTTTTTCACAAGCAAGGATAGAATTACCGCTTCCAGGTTTTGCAGAAGCCTGATATAATCACAGAGGAACAAGTAAAACATGCAGGGCTGCGGTCCTTGAGGACCGAGATTTAGAGGAATCATTTCCATTCTTGCACTGGGGTGTAACAGAAGCATCTCACCAAGATTGTTACCCTGATTGTCTACATTAAACATATGTAGTGCTAGGACAGTTGCTAAACTTTGTCAAAAGTCTCTCAACAGCGAAGACTTGTAACCATAGCTGAGTATCCAGTTCTAAAGGAGCTTGTAGTCCACATGGAGTGGATTTCCAGAAATCTTGAAAAAGGATTTTAATCAACTGTTGAACAAAGTCCAGAGCCTAGAGATGGAAGTATATACATACATCAGTGGCCACATCCCCACAGTCTGAGGTGGAGATGAAAAATTTAGTAGACTAATAGGTGGCTTGAAAAGTTCTGTTCTGAAAACTGTGAATTTTATCAACAGTTTCAATATTTTTCTGTGAGTGAAAACATCTGTTAAGGCAGATGGACTGAGTGAATCGGTTTGGAGCTGAATTGCTGGCTTCAAATATGGCCTATTTCCTAAACCAGATGAAACAAGCTCCTGTTGAAGTCAGACAACATGAGAGTAATCGGCTAATATCTCAGGAGCCTGAAGGACAGCTGCAGCCGACTGAGACAAAGATGGAACATAAAGTTCAGACGAATGAAGTCTTTTGCAGAACCGCAACCATGACTGGATCTCCATTTAGCACCGCAACCAGAAGAACCGTGAGAAGTGTGTCTTTGTCATGGTTTGTCATTTTATGCCTTGGTTTTTCCTAGTGTTTCTATGTTCCCCTGTGTGTCTCTGCTCAGCTGCCCCACATCACACTGCTGATTACCCTTGTGTTTCTCCCCAGGTGTTTTCTGTTCCCTCACTAGTTTTCTGTGTATTTGAGCTCAGTCTTGTCTCTGTCTCATTGTCGGATCATTGTTCTGTCGGATCATTGTTCTGTCGGATCATTGTTCTGTCTACCTGGTCGTGTCCTGCTTCATGTTCTTTGTCTACTTCCAAGTCTTATGAGTTTTTGCTGTATTATCAGCCTCTTTGAGTTTTTCATTAAAGGCCTTGTGCTTTTTGATTTTTGAAACCTGCCTGAACCCTGGGTTATTTTGTCAGTCCTGACATAATGATCCGACCACGCACCCAGCCCACAGGCACCCCGTTTTCGTTTTTTTTTAAAGAGCAAGATTTTTTTTCTCGCCGCCCCTCGGCGTGCCTGTCTTTCTCCTCTCACTGTTGGAGTCCACCAGCGTCACCTGGGCCAGCCTCGGCTGCTCTTCTTCCTTCTGCCCTTGAGGAGCCGGTCCTGTCCTTGCCCCCCTGGGAGGAACATGTGACATCCCCCATCATTGGAGGGTCGGTGAATATCCTCAGGGGGATCTCAATGCGCTCCAACAGACTCTCCATCTGCCGGCAGAACGAGTTCTGGGGGAGCGCCCAGATCTGCTCCCCCTGCCAGGCCATCAGCTGCTCCACCGCTTTGTGCAGAGGGTTTTGGGAGAGTCATCTGGTACCCACCCTCCCGCCCCTTCTGCTCCTCCTGCGCCGGTTGTCGGGGTTCCTGAGCCAGTGTTTCTGGTTCCTGTTCCGGTGGTTCCTGTTCCGGTGGTTGCTGAGTTGAAGGTCCCGGTGGTTCCACAATTGGAGGTCCCGGTGGTTCCACAGTCGGTGGTTCCACAGTTGGAGGTCTTGGATCCACAGTCGGTGGTTCCTCAGTTGGTAGTCCCGATGTCTCCGGTGTTGACGAGCCCCGAGTCAGCGGTCTCTGAAGTTCGTGAGTCGGCTGCCGTTGTTTCCACATCACCCATCGCCTCCTCATCGCCTGGCTCGTCGCCCGTCGCCTCCTCATCGCCTGGCTCGTCGCCCGTTGCCTCCTCATCGCCTGGCTCGTCGCCCGTCGCCTCCTCATCGCCTGGCTCGTCGCCCATCGCCTCCTCATCGCCTGGCTTGGCTGCCGTCGCCTCCATGTCACCTGGCTCGGCTGCCGTCTCCTCCGCCTCCATGTCACCTGGCTCGGCTGCCGTCTCCTCCGCCTCCATGTCGCCTGACTCGGCTGCCGTCGTCAGTCGTCGCCTCTTCATCCCCTCTGTCGCCTGTGTTCGCTGTCGCCAAGGCTCTGGCTCCATCAACCTCTGACGGTTCCTCATCGCCTCCCGCCTCCTCCCTTGGCCCCTCGTCTGCTCACGTCTCCTCCCTTGGCCCCTCGTCTGCTCACGTCTCCTCCCTTGGCCCCTCGTCTGCTCACGTCTCCTCCCTTGGCCCCTCGTCTGCTCACGTCTCCTCCCTTGGCCC